GCTTCTGCCCAGTAGGGCGGTGGCATCGAGGACTGAAAGAGAAGTGTGCATCTAACATCGTTGAGGGTGCGGATGGCATGTTCAGCCTTGCCGTTTTGAGCGGAGGTGTACGGGCATGAAAGACGAAGATGAATGCCATGAGAGGCAAAGAAGGTGGTGATCGTGGTGTTGAGAAACTCGGTGCCATTGTCGGCCTGCATTGCTACTCATGAATTTAAATGTGGAAAATAAAATATAAAAGGAAAGAACAAATAAAACCAAACAACACGCAATCTTACAAGTGGGGCCCTCACTGACCCCCACAACTCCTGAAGCACCACAATACTTCAAATCATGGGAGCTTAGTATCTCTACATAGTTTCAAATACATGAAATACACAATAGTACATCTATTGGTAGACATCAATCCATGAATAAGGTTTTTTTGTCATTATTATTTTGCTTAGATCTAGCAAAGATACAGTGCAACCGAAGTCAACATAACGTATATTTGAAAATACATATATAAAAAAATAGATATTGTGTTAACAAAATAATTCATAAGTAAGTAAAAAAGTTTTGTATAAATTTAACTAGGAGAGTGACCGAATGAGTGCTAGGTTGAGTTTTGACCAGCGTGGCAAAGCTTTCTATCTAGAATCTAGGATAAATCTTTCAGAATTTTTTGTCAAACATAAATATACAAAAAAATGATTTTGTAATCTAAAAATTCATATTTTCTATATTTACGTTTGGCAAAAAAAATTGAAAGATTTATCCTAGATTCTAGATAGAAAGCTTTGCCACACTGCAAAGATTTGAACTTCAAGACATATTTTATGTGAGAGAAACAAAAAAGAGAAAATTTCATATAGAAAGTTAGTTACGTCGCCTCCTCTTCTCTGGCGCTACGCCTTCCTCCGCGACCTCTATCTCCACACCGACGATGCCAAGATGATCAGGATCCTCCACGTTGCCCGCCCGTTCCACCGCTCCTGGCGCCTCCTCTACGCCACCGCCTTGGGTAAGCACCAGGTCGTCACTCCCACTGATACAAGCCGCACACACTAACATGCGTGCTCCTCTTTCCTCTATTTCTTTCAGATCCTACAATTTCCTACTGCTTCCGTCAACCCGAGAATCACATTGTGAGCACAGTGCAGCGACATCCCAGCTCCTCAAATCCTTCCTTCATTCCTTCATTGTTGTTTACTGTCATGTGTTTACGTGAAACTTGGTGTGGTGCAGAATCATTTCGCCTTGGTGGATTCCTCATGGACACGTCGAAGCTGGCATTGCCACCGTGGTTCTCTGGGGTCCACAAAGATCCTAAAAAAGAAAGCCCACAGAGACAACTTAATGAGCCGGTCGGTTCTCTGGGGCAAGCACTCTAAACACATATATACATGACGCAGATACAGCTCCGAAACCCTAAGCGTCGGACCATTTAACCTGGTTAAGAAAAAGCTACTGATTGAGCGGAACAGGAGCTCCTCAAGCTGTTGCCGCTGCTCCTAGGACAAGCCATAATGAGGAACTTCCGTAGTGTCTAACAAAGAATTGGAACGTGGGTCCTGAATAAACATAAATATCATTATTTATACTAATTTTTGTAACTTTTGTATAATTTCAGTTAAACCACAATCATAGCTAATATATTGTAGTAAATCACATAGGGTTTTGAAAAATTGTTTATTTTACATTTTAGTGTGCTATATTTTTAAAATATTTAACGCAAAAAACCCTCTTATTTGAGATAACTATTAAAACAACACCGCATGCCTTCCAAGATTAATTTAAGTTAGTTCCTTCAATGATTTATATGTTTGTATGTTTATCCTTAGATATCTTGGTAGGAATCTCAACAGTGTGTGGTATATGAAATATTCGGAGAACTGTTTTCTAGTTTAACGATTAGATATATGCAAATATAAAAATCTAGATTATTCTAGATGGTTAGCTTGTACTCCCTCTATTTCTTTTTAGTCTGCATATAAAATTTGGTCAAAGTCAAACTTTGTCAGTTTGTACGAAAAGATATCAACAGCACGCAATCTTACAAGTGGGGCCCTCACTGACCCCCACAACCCCTGAGCACCACAATACTTCAAATCATGGGAGCTTAGTATCTCTACAGATAGATAGGTAGATAGATAGATAGATAGATACAAGGGAGGGGGGATGGCAAGCACAACTGCCTTTGAGAAACATAATAAAAGGTACTAGTTTCAAATACATAAAATACACAATAGTACATCTACTGATAGACATCAATCCATGAATAAAGTTATTTTGTCATTATTATTTTGCTTAGATCTAGCAAAGATACAGTGCAACCGAAGTGTTCTCCCTAGCCATTCAAAAAAGTGAACACAAATGTTGTTGCAAATCACATTTAATACAACATAACGTATATTTGAAAATACAGTTGTAGAAAAATAAGAAATTAATTAGATATTGTATTAACAAAATAATTCATAAGTAAGTAAAAAAAATTTGTATAAATTTAAGTAAGCCCCGAACTTGATGAAGACAAGTGAGGAAGCTCCCGCCTCGGTATGTCTAGTTCTGGCAAGATCATGACCTGAAGCAAAAGCATTTATCTGGCTGGAGTCTGTTCTGACATGAATCTTTTGTTGTGGCGCGCGCGCGTGTGCGTGTGTGTCTGTCATGACAGGGTTGTTGTCGAGATTCCAAGCGATGCGGGACACTACGAGGGACGGGCAGATCGTGTCTGTCAGGATCACGCAACACCTCCTCCTGTGATTCGTGGGTGCTCGGTTCAGTTCTGTCGAGGTTCCTTGATGCAGTAGTATGTTTGTTGTACTTCGTCCAAGAGCTGCACAATCTTTGGGGGCTTGTGCTGGGTTTGCTCTCCTTGCTTTTTGGCTTGTTGCGTCTGCATCTGTGTCTGTATCTGCGCTAGAGTTCTTCAGACAAGTTATCTTATGGCTTAACCAACTGCAGAGGACCGGGTAACACAGCACTACTAGTCCATTACTAGATCATGGTTGTTGACACAACTCGAACAAAATCTATATAAAAAATAAATACTCTTCTGCTTATGTATTTTGCCCGCCTATTTGTGTTTTTTAGTGCGAATGTATGCACTCCCTCCGTTTCTAAATATAAGCCATTTTGGATATTTCAATATGGACTACGTGCGGATGTATATTTTAGTGTTTTTTGTTTTTTTAGTCCAAACATACTTTGCTTTATTTCAACAATAACGCTCATGGGGATACAACATAAATTAGGAGGGTTTAGGAGCCACACATGGCGACCTAAGCCCAAACCAAAAACATATTTGGCGAGGCTGTGTGCCTCTTGATTTGACTCGCGTCCTTCGAAGATGAAGGTGCATTGCTGAAATTGTGCAGATAATCTACTTTACGATGCTAGCATACATTCCTCCGGAACCTTAAATAATATCATGAACCACACCCTTGGCAATTCAGAGGCTATAATAACAAGAGATAAGGCAAGACCATTGGCCAAAGCTAGTGCCTCATGACAGGCAAAAGCTTCAAGAGTTGCAGGATCTGCTACTCCGGAGCATCTAATAGCCGAAGATCCCATGTATATCCCTTCTGGATTCCTGCAAACGGCACTGAAAGATCCTTCTAAATTCCGGCAAATAGTATATTTTAGATTTTAGATTCACTCATTTTGCTCCGTTGTGTAGTTTATATTGAAATTTCTAAAAGGCCTTATATTTAGGAACGGAGGGAGTAGCACGAAAAAGCAGCCCAAAGAGGCAATTCCTTGTGTGATCAATTCTGTTCTGCATAAAATTTAGTAGTATCTCTCGATGACACAACATTCATCCACCTGTTCACATCCATCTACCAAACAAGAAGAAAACATGCCTTGCAAACACAGCTGCCATTTTATTACGCATAACCTTGCTTACATACAAACATTCAAGGCCTCTTTGATTCGCAGGATTTGTAAAACATGGGAATAGAGAAAACATGGAAATGGAGTGGCCTGACATCTTAAATACTACAGGATTAGTATGGTTGTTTGTATTGTGCACAGGAAAAACGTAGGATTCTTTTGGGGTGGATGGAAATTTTCCTTTGAAAACTACTACAAATGAATCCTATGGGAAAAAAATCCTGCAAACAAGCCACACATAGGAAAATGTCGTATCCTCCAAAATTCCTTTAGGAATCCTTTGAATCAAAGGGGCCCTCGGCTATGGGCAATAATAGGGTGATACATGTCCAGAAAGGGAAATACATTGCACAGCTGCCTCCACACAAAAGGAAAATACATTACAACAGAATCCAAGCAAACTGCCTTCAAATCAAACAAAATATAATGGGAAAAACATGCCTTGCAAAAGAGAACATGTCCAGACACAGGATCCTGTGTACATTCAACTGTGTGCAGATAACAGAATAACACATGGCCGAATAACACAGGTAGATACAAAGCAAGAGCTAACAACACTGGTGATTCAAATCTGCATCCATCCATGATGAAGTTCTATTGTCAGTTTGGTTTTGAGTACAAAAACCGCTACTACATCTCAAAAGCTGAGAAAAAGTTTGTCAAAAACAGCAGTAACTCGACGATGACGCTGGCGTCACCCTTTTCGCTCGCCTGGTTAAGGGACAATAATAATACACTCTTTCCACTAGCATACATGCATGGCCTCCTATGAACAACAGAAAGATCAAACTTATGTCATCTGACCCCACCCCACCCAAAATGTTGACTCGATGGGATCAAAATGGCCAACTAATTGGCTGGGTATGTTTATTCTTTCTGTAAGAACACCTCTTCTACATGACAAATGGTGGAGATCAAGGGACCAAAATGTTGCCGAAGCTGTCATCACCCCACCTGCAGTATATTTTCGATCGTCGCTGTGCACCGACCTCACGGAATGTGCCTCCATGCCACCATCATTTGAGGCTCTGCTGGGCACCAGACTTCATTGACAATCCACCTCAATGTCATCATCTGAGCTGCTGCTGCTGTTTCTGCTGCTATATGACATGACAATCATACTAATCCACCTCCATGCCATCATTTGAGATTCCCGGCATACATCTTGCATGGACAATGGGTGCCAGCTCTTTACTCTGGGAGCTGCCACCTTCGGCCTTTGAGCGATCATAATACACAGCATCCTTGTACATCCACTCGCTCCTATCGACGGAATACATGTCATCAAACTGCTCCCCACAAAGACAGCAGATAATCTGGCTCTCATCTGCAGGGACCATAAACTCACAAACTTCCTCTGCGGTTCCCAGGTCTTTATCAGATGCAGAGTCCAGGAAGATGCTCTGCGGTTCAGGTAATCTGTCGATCCAACGGCTCTTGCTAGGGTACCATCTTTCAGGTGCGATGCCGGCATTTCTAGCCTCCTCTGGTCCATTGCAGGCAGTGTGTGCACTGAGCTCATCTTCAAGTCTGAATCTTAAACCACATGTTCTGCATTGATGGCTTTGGTCATCAAAGAGTCTGTTGACCACCTCTGTACGGTGCTCGCGAAGCACCACTGGCTTGAACTCAAGGCCAATTAGGTCAGCCATCTCCACTTCAGGAGGTTTGGGCAACAAAGCTTTTGTAGGGGCAGGTGTCTCCTTAGCAACTGAAGGCTGGACGACTGGCGGAGGTGGAGCTGAAGCGCTGACATCTGATGTGCTCGGACTTGATTTACCGGGGTTCCTTGCACCAGCAGACGAATCGGTGGACGGTGAAGAAATTAGCCCCTTTGCAACCAGAGAACTGAGAAGGCTTGACAGTGGTGCAGCAGCTTTCTCAGCACTCTGTGTTGGTGGCGGACCTGGCGGCAAAGGTGGGCGGAGAGAGTTCGGTGCATGAGGCTTCAAAGGGGCATTTTCGCTGGCTGAGGAAGATGGAAGAGATGCCAACCCATGTGAATGTGGGACAGCATGATCACTTGTGTTTGGTATGAATCCACCCTTAAAAAGACCAGCCAACAAATTACTAGCACTTATCTGATCTGACTTTGCATGTGCGGGACCACTGGGCAAGGACACCTCTTCAGGCTGCTCTTCTATTCCGGTAGACAGAGGCAGATGGACAGACGGTCTAAACAGCGATGAAGAATTTTCTTGTGGAAAGGGTTGATGAAATGGCTTCGGATGTGGCTTTGACTGCACAGGAGGGTGCTTTTGAGACTGCTGAGAAGCCTGTGACAGAGTTGCTTGCAGACTAGGCCGACCCTGAGAATTCACGGAATTTTGAGACAAGGCATGAGTCCTTTGGTTATGCTCTTCCTGGGGTGGCAGAAATGGTCTGGAAGCATAAATGTCATGCTCCGGGGAACTTGGGGAGCTCTCACGGGCCTGGAGAGGAGGCGAGGAAGGCGGCCAATATTTTTGTTTTGCACTTTCAAGGCTTGATCGTCCAGCGTAGGCCCCTGATAATCCAACAGGTACAGATGAAGTGATGCTTGGTGACTGATTAGAAAACCTTGATATCCTGGGATCCCGCCCAATGTCTGGTCGAAGTTTTTCCTGGGATAACCATACAGAGGAGCCACGAGATTCCGGGAACGGTTGTCCTTCAGGCCACATTTCCCTATCAATTCTTGGATCCCCATCACGCTTACTATGAAGATACTCTGCATGATCCTGAACAATTAAAGATGATCAGAACATAGAAATGTAGTTTAAAGGCATGTATGAAGAGAATTCAACATGGTACATGGCAAATCACAAGGTTTACAAAAAACAATATAGGTTGCAAAGTTGAAGGCATCCAGCAGTTAAATATGTCAATATTTACAAGTAAATAATTTCCCATGGCAAAAATAGCACTTCATATATTCTTTAATAGTTTTGCTCCACATACCATGTACGGTGCAAGTCTTCTATCTTGGCTTGTTGGATGTCCAAATCTTGGGATGGTATCTTGTTTGTGGAAGTCAGGGTCCAACGGGTCTCCAGGCTCTGCCCAATTAGCCCTATGGAAGCTTCTAATATTGCCGTCATCAGCCAAGGGTTCTCCTTTTCTTGCAGAACTGGCACCTCCATAATCTGCTCCTTGAGAAGGTATGTCGTCCCAGATGTACTCTTCTTCCTCAGAGTTCTTCCAGCTTTTATCAGATGATGACAGTCTACCAATCCTATCAGAATTACTGACAGGAGTTGGGAGAAGTGCACTGTCCAAACGTACAGAGCCAGAAGAGCGAGCATCCTTGGTTGCATACAAATGGTTGCGTCTGTCAAATATTTCTTCAGGGGAACTAACACCTCCAGTGTAATATGCCCCCACAATTCCATCTTGGCCTTTGGGCTTTGAGCGAACTTGACCAGCTCCCGCAATTCCAGGGCCCCTCGCATCTCTCTCTGGCTTTTCATGAATGGGGTTGCTAAAAGTAACCTTCTGAGCACGCTGTAAGTTTGGCAGATCATACCAAAATATATCAGGAAAAATACAAAAAGAGAAACAAAGGAGGGCAAGTAATTTACATGTAGAAATATCAAAGATCAAGAAGTAACTTACAGGCCTAGAGTTCAGAGTATCCAGGCGTCTCCCTGTGCCTTTATCAATACCAATCCTATTACCCCTTTCGATAACATCATCAGCATCAGAAATTATAGGTGTCTTGGCACCGGCTCCCAGAATCCCCTGTCCAAATTGAAGGGAAGCAGCATCAGAGAAAGATTGCACGGTGTTCAACAGAAGGAAAAAAGCAGCTACAACACCATGCACAGATGATTTTTTTTACAAGAAATGTACAGCTGTTTGAATCTGGCTCACTGATCAGCAGGCAGAAAATATCAAAAGAATTTGATGAAAGAAGATGTGGCTTGCCTTATTTGGTTGTTGGAGCTGCTGTCTTGCTTCCAAATATTTTGGGTTTACATGTATGCTGTGGGACGGGCGCTGGGATGGCGAATCGGCCTTCGATGGTGCAGCACCTGATGATCCATTAGCAGATGATTGAAAACCAAGCTCCTTCTCAATCATTTGCAGTGAAGCTGGAGAAAACACTCCTTTCCATGTTCCGAAAAGGTGTCTCATGCTAGTATGAACAGGAGGATCAACCTGTCTATAGGCCTTGCAAAACACCTATAGTAGAACAATCAAAAGAGAAGGGGATAACGTCATTAGGATGTCAAAGTCAGAGTCATCAACGCATAAAAAGGAAACTGGGGTTTATTAGGTTGTCATGAAGATGGCTATGTCAAGTACAAAATGTAGGGTTAAGACTAACCTCAGGTAATTTTGAAGAAAAATGTTTAACATAATCTTTTCCAATATTCTTGACTATACTGTCAAGCAGATAAAGAGATGGTAGCTTCTGATCACTTGGAACCTACAATCACAGGCAACCATCAAGTAAGATAGACATGCCCCTCCACCATAATAAAACAATTACATTAACAACTATCACAGATTGACAGCACAACAAATAAAACAGAAGCAAGGAAATGGTATCATAAGGAAACAGCTAAAAAACTTTCAGAGGCCCCTCCATGATAATAAAACAATTCCATTGACAACTATCATAGATTGACAACAGAACAAACAGAGGGCAATCCGCTACACTAATTCTTTCGGCAAGAGTAATCAACAGCAGATATGCTAGACAAAGGAACCAATGGCAGCATGTTTTACATGCCCCACTCTGGACACAACAGCACAATGTTTTTTCTACTGGTACTGATATCAGGAGGAGTTGCCCGTGCCTCTGTAGAAGTCTAACGAGGTTTCTCTTATAAGCATATAAGAGGTGACAACAAAATGAGTTCTAGCCAAAGATGATAGATACAACAGTAGCTTCCTAATGTTAGAGAGAAGAAGCAAACAACAAATGGAAGTGATTTAAGTGCCAGAGCCTATCCAGAAGGAGCAACAGAGAAGACCCAGTGTCTGCAACATCAGAGTCCAGCTATAAAAGAGGTATAGTGTTTCCTCGTCCATTCGTCATTCCATTCATAAAGTTCATATCACAGAGTTCAGATATAGATAAGCCGTTCAGGAATATGAATCATTTTTCCGTGCAGGAAAAGATTATGAACTTTTCTGCTGAACAGATAGTGGAACAGCAGGAATGAAACAGTTCCAAACCCTGTTTGTTTACGCAACAAACAATCTTTCGATGATTTAGTGTGACCGAACAGCAGGAATGAGACGGTCCCAAACCCTGACTGTTTCCGTAACGATAATCTTTCGACGATTTAGCGTGACTGGGCATCGCTGCAGCACTTGTATTGCCCAAAAGAAAAAGGAATGATTTACTACGCCACACAGGTCCAATGTACATATGGTGAATGGCGTATTAGAATCATACACAAGCAGCGAACACGCATACACAGGCACCGAGAGACACGGAGATGAGGGGAGAAGGGGGGAGAGGCAATGCTTTATTCATCAGCATCGACAGAATTGACAGAATCAGAACGAGGCACCACCGTACACCCTGCGTAAGGAGACCGGGCAAAGCAAATTCACTCTATCTTTCCAATGCCATTGGCACCGCAAATTTACTCTCGCGGAGATCTTTTTACACGCAACACCGCCCTTGACAGCGCGGAAAAAATACAGCAAACCAGACTAACTAGCTATCATCCATTCATCAAACAAGAGCCAACACATCCATCCTCTTCCTATCTAGCACACTGAATTCCTACCGAGCTTTGAGCTTTACATCCCTAGAGCTAGCTACCATTCATTCATCGAACCACAACCAAGGAT